TTTGGCTCAATGGCGATAGGGCTCCATAACAGATCTTCTGAATAAGGTATATAGTGTTAGCAGCGACAAAGGGATTCTAGTACTGGAGCACAGGTAATCGTGACTCCCCAATACTGTCGTTGGAAGGGGTCCTGAAGCCGCAGTGTGAGTTGCAGTACGTGAATACCTTGTCACCAAGAGAGTAATGGAAAGTCTAAGGCCAGCTATTGCAATATTGGAAGGCTAATTCAACAGAAAAAGGGTAGACCCCTTACCCTCCCGTGTTGAGGCAAGTCCTTAAAGAGAGAGTGTGGTCCCTCCTGGCTCTGGCCGTCGTCGAGCCTTCAGACTGCAATTCTAGCAGTTCGACCCCTGAACCCTCGGCACCCGCTCGCTCAGCAGAGAGCAGCGACCATCAACTATCCCCAGGAGTAGCTGTAGCTTCAAAATGTTCACAGAACAAGAAGGTCCCTCGAACTGATTATTCATATATATCACAAAGCCAAGAACCAGAGCCTCGCACTATCCACAGACAAAAATTGTGGAAGAGGAAGTAAGGGGAACGAGCTAACTTGTAATGGACGAGGTAGAATGATGAAAAAGGGAAAAGAGAAGAATAAGAGGCAGGAGGAGGACAAATGGACGAGGCGGATATTTTTATTATTATTATTCTGGTGGACAACGCTTCTTTTTTATTATCATTTTTTTATTTTATGTGTTTTAACATGTTTCTTGTTGAGATGGAGGATATACACTGACCATGCTGCTGATGCCTAACCACAGTATAAATGCCGAAGATTTACATTGATACATGAACATAGGAATCACTGGCGGTGACCTCGCTGTTCCTCCTGAGTTGCCGAGTCATGCGGCGCGACTGAGGAGTGAGGGAGAGCGGGGGAAGAGGAGAGACGTTGGGGTTTGGAGGGAGGAAGGGGAGAAGGGGAGAAGGGGGAAGGGGGAAGGGACGGTGAAGAGAGAGAGAGAGAGAGTTGGGGTAGACTTGGTAAAGGAGGAAGAACAGTGTTAAGCATTCCAGGGGAGGGGAGGGGATAAATCCCTCACTCACGTTCCTCTCGAAAACCTCTCAGTCTGCAAACACTTATAATAAAAACTATACATTTGCTGCATTCCTTAACATTCACATAGAAATTTCAATCAATAACGATAAGTAAAAACTCTTAACATATAGTCAACCCTTCATATATTTCGATATGGTAGAGGCGGGCGTCATCTAGGCCGCGCCTGCGGAGGGGAACACATCCGTGGACAAAGGCGTTGCCAATGGGAACTGCTTCGTATCTTAGGCTCACTTGCGAAATAATCCTCAGCAAAGCATTCAACATGAAAATATTTAGGGGGGGGACCAGATCATATTCCCATGTATCATCATACAAAGTCCGACCACATGACGCACTGGGGAGGGGGTATTCTTTTTCTCGAGTATAATTCTAGGAATTCGTTAAGTATATTCTGTGTTATACAATAGGTTGTAGACAGCCTGGGCATGATTCCAAGTCCAACTGTCCATCAAAGATTAGGCCTACTTCTAGAGGGATGGAAGGGAAGGAAGAGGGCACAGTTGATCAGAAGAGAGGAGAAACAAGGACAAAGAGAACAGCAAAAAAGCTTAAGAACAAGGATAAAGCTAGACGAATAGAAATCGTAACACTAGGTGGCAGAGCAGTGTTGCGACGGGGAACCTGGCGGAATCAAGTGAAAACCGAAAGACCGAGGGAGGATGATCAGTCAGGGCATGGAAAGGGCAACGAAACCGGAAGTGACGGAGGTGGGTGTGGTCAGCATGAACCTCAACCCTTCCTGTGGGCAGATATAACGTTCCATGGAGTATCTCAAAAGGGTGACTGTTGTAGAGACAGAGATGCTAGGTAAGGTTAGCAGTATTTAGGGTTAAGGTCAAGGAATACTGAGATAAGGTCAAGATAATAGGGTAAAGTTAAGGAGCATCAGTTATAGTTACAATTGCTAGATTAAGGTCAACACATGCCGGGTTATGTTCAGGAGAACTAGGCTAAAGTGAAGAGTGCTGAATAAAGGTCCAGGGATACCGGGCTATGGTCAGAACTGCTCGGTGAAGGTCAGGATTGCCAAGTCAACCTAAAAAATGCCAGAGGAAGGCCAGTATTACACTGTGAAGGTGAGGAACACCGGGCCAGTAGTTCCAAGGGGAGATAAAAGTCCCGAGGAAGACTATATAGAATCTTAGGGTAATTATACATGGTGACAGGTAATATGTACTGCTCAGGTAAGGTCTGAAATTATCCAGGTAAATTATTCATGGAGAACTTTATATTTACTTAACCAGGCAGAGTATGACATGTCAAGGTGTGTGAGGGGAAAGAGGGGAGAGGGATGTCATGAAGGACATGTAAGACATGTCAGGGAGAAAGAGGGGAGTGGTTGTATGAGGAAGGAAGGAGCATGGAAATGAAGGGAGAAGGGGGTGGGTGGAGAAGACACGAGCCATAGTGTTGGACTACGATAGGTCATCTTAGTATTGGAAACTAGAAAGGGTAGGGTACTCTATGGAGCAAACTTCCACACATGATTAAAACTATTCTGTAATATTATTTAAAGCACTTAGTCAAAATCACAAGCATTGTGACGCTGGCCAGCCTGTCTCCTAAAGCGAGACAGCGCAGGCCGAGAAGGTGTTATACGTACTGATATTGTGGCATGTAAAAAACTGCTCTCAAGGCAAACAAGTGACGAGAGTCCACATTAACGGGAAGTCCGGAAGTGTGAGGTGCACAAGGGAGGTGTTATGTGTGCAGCCTGATGCTGGAGTGGGGGCATATTTGTAGCCCCAGTGTGGCCCCAGCGTGGCCCCAGCATGGCCTACTACCCGTGTGGCCGCTGGGGGCTGATGTGGAGAAACGAGCCCCACGATGCCCCAGCAGGGGAACTTATGGGGCACTTAATGCCCCGAGTACCGCGTCATGACGACTACCATCGTCTCCACTCAGGCAAGTCGATGATGTCTTTGAGCCTCTTATCTTAATGCAATACTGCAAATTTGCAACACAAGCAGTTAGTGTCAGATCAAGTCTTGAAACCGAGACAAAAGAGAGCACCCAATGAAAAGCTTCACATTCTGCTTGATAGCAATATTGCAGGTTGCAAATATCGTTGAATGTTCTGCACTAGTACACGGAGGTCTTATGTTGTGACTGTGTGGCAGGCACGGAAGTGCTTGATCCCATGGGAAGGGCTGGCGCAGCGTGACCCAGGCCTCGAGGGCCCTCACTCTACCACTACCCGAAGCTGTCCAGGCTGGCCATGGAGCCGCGACGGGTGAGCGCCGGCAGCGACACCAGCGATGAGGTGCCGAAGAGCTTGTACCATCCGATGACGATGTTGGAGAGGTCCAGGTCGTCCAGCATGATCTGCGCCAGGCCCATGAACACCTTACGGCCCTCCATGCGCCCGTAGTCGCCCCACACCGTCACCTGTTGCGGGAAGGACACTGTCAGGAGGCGTTCCGCTTGAGGGATAGTTTAAGATTACTAGCTAAGGGAAGTTGCTGCTGGACAACTCATGTATTTACTCATATGTGATATCTAGTGCCTTTTAATGGAAACAATGAAAGGCAGTCCTCATCACCATATTAATAAAGATGTTAAAGATGATGCTAATAATAATAATAATAATTATAGTATCAATATCAATAATGACAAGTACATTAATACATCTCCTCAGATTATGTTCATAACTTTCCCGTTAAATATATATTATTTCCAGTACTTATATTTACAAACGTGTGATATATACATGCAGCCAAATCCATTTTCCTCGCAGAAATACATAAGAGAAGATGACGAAGAAAAAATTATGTATTATAAGTAGTAATTATCTTGCATAACAATATATCTTACTATATGCACATCTTGATCCTACAAAATTATGAACATTTGCCGAATGCATCAATAGAGAAGTCAACATTACAAACTTAAGATCGCTAATGCTATTGTGAATTCCTAGCGATGCATTCCCTGTTCTTAGTCACCTGATGCTCACATTTGTCATTTTGAAAGAACTTTACTCAGGAAAAGGAGTACCAGAGAAACTCAAAATGCCTGCCTTTTCTACAATCCACATGCTTCCGTATTAATTCCAAATTTGTATAGAATGACGTATGTGTATGAAATACCTCGCGGGCCGTTCACTCCCTACGTTCTAGAAGCGTCAGATGGAGATCTCTGATGCGAATAGTATAAAAATGTCATAAATCATAACTGGAGAAGTTGGGAGTACAATGAGCTTTTCAAATCATTGTAATTAAAGATGATTTTCTTCGCGAAGATCCATAGTCTGTGATCATCTTGGAAATTTGTTAATATTATAATGTTTTGAGGCCAGCCGTGGCGGGTTGTCCGAAGGGTTTACGAACGGCATTCCTCCTGTTTACAAGCGCGTGTGAAACCGGGAGCATACAATACGTGAAGAGGTAGATTGTAGAAGTTACATGAAAATTTGTCCTCGTTTTATATTCTTCCCTTAGAGTTCCATTTAGCCAAATGAGTTCCCTGGATCTATGATGGATTGCAATAACACGAATATAAACGATATTTGAATAAAAAAAACTCCAGAGGCACCTAAAGGCAGGGTGGTAAATGCCTCTTTACATTTGCTTGAGAGCAAGAAAACATTATATTTATACAATAAATTGTGCATTACTGTTTGCCAGTATTACTGATGAGGGATAAAAGAATCAGAGACATCTGTGCAGCAAAAGGTACTTGGGAGCATCACTTATACATAGTACTAGTACCTTCTTCCGAATTTCTTTTGCGAAAATACCGTATTATCCTGATTTGTTAACTCTAATACATCAGTCAATCTTACATACCTGAAGGAGTCTTGGTCCATCCTCAGGACGGTGCTGCCTAAACGATCATGACTACCTCTTACAGCCTTGAAACCTCCTGAAGAAGTTGCTCCGCTAAACCTCTACCTCAGACAGACCACTGAGTGTACGTACCTGCAGAACACAGCCTTGGTACCTCTCGTGGAAGATGAGCTGCTGTTGGTACAGTGGGTCGAGAGTCCTCCTCGCCGTCGCCGTCTTGGCTTTGGCCACGCACTTCTTCCCGTCCACCAAGTATACCTTCACGTAGGGCGCTGTGGGACCAACACCAGCGTTACTCAAGTCACACTCGCCTATCAGCACACAGTTTCGAGGATGCTTTGACATGTGTAGTCAACGTATAACGCTCATTCGCGTGACTGAAGCCTCGAAACGCCTTAGCGTGGGGTGAATTATATTATTCTCGAGGCAGTATTCGAAACAAGCTCGAAGAGACATTCTACGCTGACTGCACAGACCTTTGGTGGTGAGGTGAGGAGGGCAATGCCACACAGCTGTCATGAGATGCTGTGTGGAAGGAAGTTTCTCATGCTCGTGTGAAATTATACTGAATTGTCCTTTATTTGGAAAGCAGTGTTAAAGGTAAAAAATTTACAGGAATGTGTTTCTAGTAGAAGCTTAGACTGTATTAATTAAGGGAGAATTATGATATAGGTGATCGGATGCGAACGAAGAGCGGTACTTCTACAGTACACAAAAATCACAGAGGGTGTAGTTGTGATTATCATAGTCAGGAATAAAGGTAAAATATTTAATTGCAAACATCAGTCAATTCACCCACACAAATAGATACATACATACATTTACTTGAGTATATACGGCGTGTGTATGTGTGTGTGTGTGTGTATGGGTGTGTGTGTGTGTGTGTATGGACCACCATGACGGGCCGAGTGACACCGTAAATATGGCGTGGGCAAAACATAAACAAACAGTGATATTTGCCAAGCTCCTTTGTCATTATAATTCTCTCACTCCTATCTGATATTGAACTGGGAAGATATACAACAGTAGAAAATCCAACATATGTATATATATGTATATATATATATATATATATATATATATATATATATATTATATATACATACATACAGACAGACAGACATATATTATATATACATATATATATATATATATATATATATATATATATATATATATATATATATATATATATATATATATGTATGTATATATATATATATGTATGAATATATATATATGTATATATATATATATATATATATATATATATATATAATATACAGACAGACATATATATATATATATATATATATATATATATATATATATATATATATATTCATTTATTATTTATTATTTATTATATATATATTATATATATATATATATATATATATATATATATATATATATATATATATATATATATATATATATATATATATACCACAGACACACACACACACACACACACACACACACACACACCACACACACACACACACACACACACACACATATATATTATATATATATATATATATATATATATATATATATATATACCTATATATACAGACAGACAGACAGACATCATACATACATAATGCATTTGCATAAATACACACACACACACACACACACACACACACACACACACACACACACACACACACACACACACACACACACACACACACACGCACGCACGCACGCACGCACGCACACACACGCATTCGTGCCAGCAGCGGAGGAATCACCCGCCCAAGGCTTTGCTGCGACCTTGGTGAGGAAGGTCAGGAAAGGACAGAAGAGGAGCCTGTCAAGGAAGGCGATCAAGGGAAGCCGTGTCTTTGCGTGTACTACTCCGCAAGGTTGACTGAAGGTTGACTGAATGGAAGGGAAAACTACTGTGCACTTTACCGTGGGGGGAACGGAGCTGCAGATCTAGGCTAGATGATGCACCAGTGCAACGGATGCAGTGTTGGTGGGGGAGTGCATGGGTGCGGGGGAGGGAGAGGAAGGGGGGAGGGTGTGTAATGAGGCTGCAACAGACTGCTACTGACCAGGTAAGATTCGGGCCCCTGTTTTGCACTGGAGGCCCCTCGCCCTGATGACCTCCACCTCAAGCTTGTTCTTACGGTCACACATAGACAGCTGGATGTCTCCAAGAGCTGGAGCGGCCAGCACCTGGCGCCCCACCAGCTGGCCCGGACCGAGGCCTTCGATGAACTCGCTCAGCTGACCATCTGTTCCCAGGCGCATAGATGGTACGCGACTGTTGAACGAGAGTCGAGGTTAGACAAGGTAATGGTGGCGTATAGTAACACAAGGCTAGTTCTAAATGCATTAACTCTAACGTGATAAAAATCTTTAACTATAGATTATAATTTCTCATGACATATACTACTATTGTTCAATAAGTGGACCGGCTCTGATCATGATTTGCTCTCATTTACGAGACTGATCTCTACACTACCCGTAAGGAAAGAAGTCTACGTAATACCAGGCCAGAAATCCTACACAGTAAGATGGACGAAATATACTTACAAAAACTGAAGCACTGAATGATTAGACACATAACTATCTCTTGTTTTTAGACAACCAAAACAGAGACTAAGAAAACCCACATGACACCAGAAAATCCAGGTATACAAAGCTTTCTAATCAGGCCTCGGGGTCATGCGTAGAGAGGAATATTATCTTACGTAGGAGCGAAGATTTGACGGTGTTGAAGCTTCATATAGACAAATGGTCATGGATACACACAGTCACACAGAACCTAAGACACACCACAGACTATCTCACACAGCCCACAGAACTAGAGAATCTAAAGGAGACTGCGGTTGACTACGGGAGCGGCTACACCTACTGAATTGAGAAATGATAATGGCCGGAGCACAAACAGGGTTCAAACACAAAAATAGGGTTAATGACCTGGATTTAAGAAGCCTTTACATTATACCTACTTTGTTTAACTACCACTACCGCTACTCCTTTTATGGCATCGTGTCACTGCTACCAGTCACTGCTAAATTGCCCTTCTCTACAAGGGTGCACGACACATCAGCACGTGGATTAGCTCGTGAAAGTAATGCCGAATCTGCACCGCATCATGACGCCAAATTTGCAACTTGCAGTGAATCGTACATTTTCATCTGGCATCGCAACAGAATGCCTGTGACCTCAAAACGCATGATGCGGTTGCGGATTAAGCATTTCATTACACGAAATACGAAACGAAATCTATTAAAGTCTATTGTACAGGATAATATTTATTTAAAAAAGGTATCTACATTCCTATCTGTTAATCTCTAAGTCTACTCGGTAGGTAGTAATCTAATTCTTTTTCAGAAATCATTTACAAAATAATAATTTCTTGCAACTTATTACATGTGGTTAAATCAAGAGAAAACAGTGGAAAATAAAAACTGTCAGTACGTAATCTTCAAGTTCCTGACATGACCATGTGGAAGATGGGACAAAGGGACAAGTTGTTCTCGAGTGGAACAAGGTGCGGCCTACGTGGGTACATTGATCGGGGTGTCGTGTGTTAATTAGGTTTATTGGTGTTTTATGTGTTGAAAAGGTTAAACCAAGTTTCAGGTGTTAAAATCAGTAATTCGGGACTTTACGTGTTTAAATGAATTATTCAAAATGTCATCTGTTAAAAATATGTTTATTTTTTGTGTTAAATTGAGTTAATCAAAGGTTTATGTGTTAAAATGGTTATATTGTGTTACGATTTTTTGTATCCAATTTTATTAAAGCTTGGGACTCATTAGATATGTATGTGTAAAAGAAAGAGAGGGGGGGAAGAGTAAAAGAGAAAGTGTGAGGAGATGGAATGAGAGAGAGAGAGAGGGAGAGGGAGACAGACAAACAGAGAGAGAGAGAGAGAGAGAGAGAGAGAGAGAGAGAGAGAGAGAGAGAGAGAGAGAGAGAGAGAGAGAGAGAGAGAGAGAGAGAGAGAGAGAGGAGGAGAGAGCGAGGGAAGGAGGGAGAGAGAAGGAGAGGAGGAGAGAGAGGGGGGAGGGAGAGAGAGAGGGAGAGAGAGGGGGAGGGAGAGAGAGGGGGGAGGGAGAAGAAGGGAGAGGGAGGAGGGAGGGAGGGGGACGGAGAGGGAGAGGAAGAGAGAAAGAAAAAGAGAGGAAGAGAGAGAGAGAGAGAGAGAGAGAGAGAGAGAAGAGAGAGAGAGAGAGAGAGAGAGAGAGAGAGAGAGAGAGAGAGAGAGAGAGAGAGAGAGAGAGAGGAGGAAGGAAGGAGGGACAGAGGGAGAGGGAGAAGGTCCCTATGGGACTGTGGAGGAGACCATGACCTGGACAGCCAGAAAGGGAGCTAAGCAGCAAGGGAATGGGGTTGCTCATGATCATGTCAGGTCGGGCGGCTTTCATGCCACCTTCATTCCTCGTGGTTCCTGCTGTTAAGTGACTGCAATATATATATCCATGAGAAAGGATTAAAATGTTACTGTAATTGTTGCATAGGCAAGGTATGTGTCATGAAAGTGGGTATGTTGGAGACTGAATAAAAATGAGACTGGTAATGAGGGCCGTGCTAGGTTGGTGCTGCAGGGTTGAGGAAGGCCAGGGCAGCAGGAACCAGCAAGAGGTCCTACCATATGTCGTATGTCGGGAGGTACTTACGAGGAGCCCTCAGAACTGATGCTATTCATGCTACCGTCGGTGGACTCCTTAGAGGGCTGCTTAACCAAGCGAGCCTGGCTAGATGGGATCACCTCCTGAGATCGCTGGACCCCACTAGTACTACGCTTTCTACCGCCCTCTGCGGAGGAGGCAAAATGTGACACTGTCAACACTACAACTCTAGCCGGTACTACTGCCAACATGTCCGCCTACACATAAGGGCACTTGGTCGGGTCATGCCCTAGCCAGGTATGGTGGCTGGGGAAGGAGGCAAGGCAATCTAGGCAAAACGTCTAGCTAGTTATACAAAATGTCAAAATTTTGATCTTTTAGTCCGGGCTCATGAATCATCATCACTGCCCTAGAGCCTAGAAAAAATCATAATAGTACTGTCATTCCCACAAATTAATTAAATGTTAGAAGAAACTGCAATAGAGTGCATTCATGCTGGTCTAAAACTACCTTTCTGGTTTCCCTTAATTCTGCTTATTACTATCGCTGT